TAAATATTGATCTCTCTCATTTGGTGTTGTTTCTCTTTGTCTCTGTTCGCCTTATACTCATTGTAATATTTAATTTTTGATATTTTATGTGTGAGATATTGTAAATGGAGAGTATGAAGGCTTAAATGCTATTCTTCGGGATTGGTAACCTCTGATTATTTTGTGTAATCTGGTAAGATGAGTGATTGAGGGAGACTATGTAATTTCTGAGGATTTTTTGACTTGATACTTTGTATATTAGCCTATAATTTTGTACACATTGATTGTACTATTGGATTTGGAGCGTTAACCACATCTTTGGATTCTCAATATGGCGAGTAGGTATTTTGGCTGAAAAGCTCGGTGCTAGAACGAAAAATCTTGATGTTCTTTCTTTTTTTGTTGAAACTTTGTTATTATAACTAAATTGGACACAATTTTATCAAATGCACATAAAATGGTCCACTTGCAACACCCAATCTGCTAATCTCCATAGCAGTGAGCACCACCTCGCAGTGGCGCTCTTAGTGAAGAGCGTTTTTGTGAGGCAACTCTCACCCATTGCACACTGAGCCTCGCTACTGTGTTGTTGATGATATTGTTTTTGTGGTTTGCTTGGTTGTTTTGCTATTTTAGTTGTCGATGATTCGCTTGGTAGTTTTGATTGTTGGTGATTTGTTTGTTTACAGTTTGCAGATGGTGATTGCTAGTGGTAGTGGTGGTGCGATAGTGATGGTTAAGATAGAGTGTTGGTGGTCTGCAAATTGTGGTATCGATGCTTGTGAGGTCATGGTGACTCACAATTTGTTCACGGGTCATTAGGGATGGCAATGCGGCTTGGCCTTTTAAACCACGAGCTCGGCTCGAACTCATGGCGAGCCGAGCTCGTGGCTCATTTTTAACGAGCCGAGCTCGAGCTCGGCTCATTGCTCATTGGCGAGCTCGGCTCGGCCCACGAGCTCATGTTATTTTAAATAAACAAAAATTTTTTGCACCTTTTTTTTTTTTAAAATTCAATTTTTTGGACGAGCCCACGAGCAGCTCGCAGGCTCGGCTCGGGCTCGTCATTTGATGAGCCCGAGCCACCCATGAGCCGAGTTTTAACGAGCGAGCGGCCGAGCAGTTTGACATCCCTACGGGTCATAGGTCACAAGTCACAGGTCATTGTGCGTAACTCACGAATCAATGTTCATATGTCACAGATTAATTAAAATTAGTCATAAATTACTAATTTATGTTCACAAGTCACACATCATAAGACATATACTGTATAGATCACATATCAATATTAATTATTTGCAAATTGGATGTAACATGTCTTTGTGCACTGATAATATGTCACATATTCAAATTCATAGGTTTACATGTCACATATCATTTGGCGTAGGTAATTGATCCATGTCTACAAGTCACAGATCCAAGAGAATTAGTCATAGGTCAATGGATTAATATTACACATAATAGATCAATGTCCAAAGATCGTAGATCCAAGAGAACAAGTCACAAGTTATTGGATCAATATCATAGGTAGCAATTTACGTGTAGTTGAAATCACAACACCAAAAATTCGAAGTTCAAATTGAAGTTTAATCAAATAATTCGTCAATTCTTGTTAATGTTTTTCTAAATTAAAAATCCAAACAAGCCATTATTATTGAGATGCTGTACTCATGAATCTCAAATTGCACCTTTATCTAGATCTTTACTACAATCGTGCTGGGAGAGGGGATGACGATAGGTTTGATGTCGATGACTAGCTAGGTTAGTCTGTAGGGAGAGATTGGAGAGATATTAGACAGAGATTGGGATTGGTAACCTCTGATTATTTTGCGTAATTTGGTAAGATGAGTGATTGAGGGAGACTGTGATTTCTGAGGATTTTTTGTCTTGATACTTTGTATATTAGCCTATAATTTTGTACACATTGATTGTGCTATTGGATTTGGAGCGTTAACCACATCTTTGGATTCTCAATATGGCGAGTAGGTATTTTGGTTGAAAAGTTTGGTGCTAGAACGAAAAATCTTGATGTTCTTTCTTTTTTGGTTGAAACTTTGTTATTATAACTAAATTGGATTATCTAATGCACATAAAATGGTCCACTTACAGCACCCAATCTGCTAATCTCCATAGCCGTGAGCGCCACTACCCTGCTAATCTCCATAGCCGTGAGCACCACTACCACCTCACAGTGGCGCTCTTAGTGAAGAGCGTTGTTGTGAGGCGACCCTCACCCATTGCACACCGAGCCTCGCTACCATGTTGTTGACGATATTGTCTTTGTCGTTTGCTTGGTTATTTTGCTATTTTAGTCGTCGGTGATTCACTTGGTAGTTTTGATTGTTGGTGCTTACAGTTTGCAGATGGTAATTGTTAGTGGTGGTGGTGGTGGTGCGATAGTGATGGTTAAGATGGAGTGTTGGTGGTTTGCAAATTGTGGTATCGATGCTTGTGAGGTCGTGGTGACTCACAATTTGTTCACGGGTCATAGGTCACAAGTCATCGTGCGTAGCTCACGAATCAATGTTCACATGTCACAAATTAATTAAAATTAGTCATAAATTACTAATTTATGTTCACAGGTCACACATCATAAGACACATATATTGTATAGATCACATATCAATATTAATTATTTGCAGATCAGATGTAACATGTCTTTGTGCACTGATAATATGTCACATATTCAAATTCAAAGGTTTACATGTCACATATCATTTGGCGTAGGTAATTGATCCATGCCTACAGGTCACAAATCCAAGAGAATTAGTCATAGGTCAATGGATTAATATTACACATAATAGATCAATGTCCAAAGATCGTAGATCCAAGAGAACAAGTCACAAGTTATTGGATCAGTATCATAGGTAGCAATTTACGTGTAGTTGAAATCCCAACACCAAAAATTCGAAGTTCAAATCAATGTTTAATCAAATAATTCGTCAATTCTTGTTAATATTTTTCTAAATTAAAAATTCAAACAAGCCGTTATTATTGAGATGCTGTACTCATGAATCTCGAATTGCACCTTTATCTAGATCTTTACTACCATCGTGGTCTGAGAGGGGATGACGACAGGTTTGATGTCGATGACTAGCTGGGTGAGTCGGTAGGGAGAGATTGGAGAGATATTAGATAGAGATTGGAGTTGGTAGAGATATTAAGATGGATATTCATTAGATATATAATATATTATTTTAAATATAATGTTTATTAATTACTACCTAAGTTTTGAATTTTTAAATCTATTCTCTTAAAATTGAATTGGAGGATAATTAAAGGCCAGAGTCGCTCATTCTTCCCTTCACTAATTTCAACGGTTTCTACGTCATGACCGTTGAGCCAACTGTAGATTTCGTCCCAACACTAGCCACAAGCCCAACAATGAATGGGATGCTAATTGATTGGTATATTTATCACAAATTATCCCTTACAACAATTTAAGCCCCACATTTTTGTGGTCCTATCAGTTGTCGAATTACGAATATTATTCTGCTTTTCTTAGTTCATCCCTATGGTTTATTTTATAAAGAAAGACACTTACACGTGATAATACATAATGACTAATCATAATCAAATTAAAGATATATTTCATAATTTCATTGTATCTACCACGTGAATTCCACCTGTTTTGTTAAAATCATCTCAACAACTTCGATTACATTATCTTTCTTTCTATGTTTTTATTTTATTTTATTTTTGGATTTGAAATATTCAATAGTTGACATGATTGCACTAGCATTCTATATAAAATCTACAAAAATCAAAGTAAAATTAGAAGTAAACAAAATGTTAAAAATATTTGCCCAAATTTTGGGTCATATTGTTATTTTATTTAAACATGTTAATCTTCTCTCTTCTTAGATAGTCCAATGCAATTTAGCGAAAAACCGTGGACCAATGAGGGTTGGGCTTCCTCTGGGTTTGGCCAGACATGTTTGAAAAGTGTTTATAAAGTTTTTTAAGTTATCAAAAAATAGAAAATAGTGATGGATAAGTGAATAATAATTATGAATCTCTTGAGAAGCATGAGTAAAAAATAACTTAAATATTTATGTACACAATTGCGTTTAAGATTGCAATGCTCTCAAATAATTAAGTCGTATAATATATGCTTCTAATCATGATGAATAATAAGACGCATTTGATATCTTTTTCTCCCCTTCGCTTCTGCTATGGTTTTATATGCATACATCATTTCCTTATTCTTGTTATACCAAAATTGATTCACAAACGTTGATTTAGAAAAAAGTTACATAAAAAAGTTGCATCTATTAGAATGGGACCATTGCCATATTCTATCAATAACTTGGAATCTAATCTAATAATGCATTTGCCACTGCCATTTTCGGATAAGCATTATCACCTGTAGTTTAGTGAGTGAGACTTCACACTCACAACTCAACCCACTTGCTCATTCTATCTAGTTACGTGCCGTATATACGTCTTTTAAATTTGATTATTGTCATCTATCATCAGTCGAGATCATTAATAACTTACGTGAAAGTAAACTCTAAGATTCATAATGCATCACGAAATGAATCTAGGATTTTGCTGCCGAACTTGACAGCTTGGCGTACAGCCTCTCACAAAAGATGAGGGCCCACATCCAATAAAAAAATCGTGGACCCCCCTCTTGTGAGGGGGGTTGTACACCGAGCGTAGCAAGACCCATAAATCTAATCTAAAGGTTCATTGTTATTTAAACTATGATAACAACTAATAATAATTTATACTTCCGACCTAAGTAAGTCTGTGGGAGGCAGTGGAAGAGAGAGTAGATGCGATTGTTAGAGTTCAATCACGCATGGTACTTTTGATCGAAAAATCAATCTGAATGGTTTTGACCCTTCGTTCAATGACAAAATGGGTCAAATTTTACAGAATTAAATATATGGGACTCGACTAATGCGAACCCCATATCTATTTTTGTTTTTATATACGATCTTGTAATGTTCGATTCTGAATTTTCTAGCACCCTATGCTAAATTCTTGTATCATACAAATTTTAACAGAGAAAATTCGTTCAAACAAAAGCAGGGATTTTTCCCTCAACAGATTCAATTACTGAAAAACAAATGATAATTAATACATAGATGCTTACAACTGAGAATCATTCTATTCACTATGACTGATTACTGACTACCATACACACAGTACAATACATAATTATTAAAAACATATTTACAATATATATATATATCTCTACTTGTTATTTGTAGGCTCTTGGAACTTGGGATCCAAATGTTTATTCTCTGTAGCTAAAGTCTTCTTTGAATTCCAGAACTTCTCAATCTCTTCTGCTGTTCTTCCTGGTATTCTTCCAGCAATCAATGTCCACCTGTTCCAAACAAATTCCTTGTGGATTAAGTGTAAAAATACCATAGGAATTGGACTACTACTCTTAAAAAGTTTACGTTCTAAGATGGAGCCCGTGGATTACATACTAACCTTGGTCCAAGCAAACTGAACATTCTTTCCACGAGCATTTCTTCGTCTTCAGAAAATTCTGGGTTGGAGTCCTTATTCACAGCTACTTCTGAAACAAGAACAACCAAGAAATCAATGTAAAAAAAAAAAAAAAAGTTAGGTTTTAAATAATTACAAGAAAATTCAACCAACCTTTCTTGGTTTCACCATGGTGGTCTAAGGTATTCAAATCCAAATCCCTCATCTCTTTACAATAATATATAACCTGAAAGATAATTGGAAGGTATACATTGCTGACTATCTTTGTGTGTGTATATATAAATATATGAATTTACTATTTGACGTTGACAAGGAGAATATTCAAACATTGTAGACAGTTTTCAAATTTTGATTGATTTTGGATATATGCTTATGTCCAAGAAAAAAATAAAAGAAACTTCAAATCATACAATAACATATATGTTATAAAAAGCTTATCTTTTAGCGCATTTCATTGTATTTCCTTATCCAATTTTCCTCCCAACCTAATATTTATCCTTTATCCAAAAACTAGAATAGACAGTGAAATATATATTTCATTAGTTGGTTTCTTATCCATACAGGAAGAAAACCGTCTTCCTTATCCAGTAAATTAAGTTGTAGACAAGTTTCTGTCATTAAGTAAAAAGCGATTACTAAACTGAATAGCTAATGATACCTTATTTATTTATTTTATTTAAGCATGATTCACAAGGATCCTTAAGTATTCTCTTAAAGATTAATGTGTTAAACAATTCAAAGAAAATAAAGAAGAAACAGGAGGAGGCTAGGGTTTCATTGATACTACATTAATTAATTGAATGCTAAAAGATGGTTTAACCTAAATAGAAAGAGAATATATATAGGCTAAACAAAGGAAACTAAAAATGACTATTCTATCCTTAATAAATAATAAATAATTATATATTTCTTAACGTAATGTATATAATAATTACGGGATGTTATATACTTATTATGTGATCAATTTTTAATATTATTTGAACTGGAAAAATTTTCGGTGATATTTATAATGGAATTTTTTAAGCAAGCTGGTTCGGGTTAAATTTGGCATCAAAGTTCAGCTTCATAGCCATTCGAGCTCCTAGCTTTTCAACTTTATCTTTCTTAAAAGAGGTTTTACATTTTTGTTAAAAAATAAAAAGGATTTCAAAACTGTCGAGCCTGATATGGAATTAATTTAGACAGATTCTCCTATTCTAAAAGTAAACATGAGAAGCTTTATGTGCTGGTGGGGGGGGGGGGGGGGGGGAACTCGGCCCAAAGCAGCTTGAGTTCTAGTCCAAATTGGGGCTAGATTCATTGAGGCATATTTATTGAAGGGTTCTGCGAGATGAATAGGGTCACGTCGGCACTATTTGAATAGGAGGACGACACTATTTGAATAGGGGGGGAATTGAAATTGAAATTAAAATTGCAATTATTGCATCCTAATTTGGTTCTATTGTACAGTAGACAGACCAAACTCGGCCCAAAGCAGCTTGAGTTCTAGTCCAAATTGGGGCTAGATTCATTGAGACATATTTATTGAAGGGTTTTGCTAGATGAATAGGGTCACGTCGGCACTATTTGAATAGGAGGACGACACTATTTGAATAGGGGGGGAATTGAAATTGAAATTAAAATTGCAATTATTGCATCCTAATTTGGTTCTATTGTACAGTAGACAGACCAAACTCGGCCCAAAGCAGCTTGAGTTCTAGCCCAAACTGGGGCTAGATTCATTGAGACATATTTATTGAAGGGTTTTGCTAGATGAATAGGGTCACGTCGGCACTATTTGAATAGGAGGACGACACTATTTGAATAGGAGGACGATGTGGTGTCCCCTGTAGGCGGAGTGCCTATCAGGTCATAACTTTCATTAATATGCATTTATTAATGCGGGGAGCCTATCGAGTTATAGCTTTCTTTAATATGCATTCTTTCACAGTGCAACAAATAGGTAAATCCTAGGAAGTCAGAGTCCAAAGTTTTGGTGGGATCAAGTTTAATCAATTTCAATGTCTATAATTTGTTGAATACTTCATAATTATATATTTTATGAATTCCTCGACTTTTCAATCACACATTTCATTCACTTCAAAAAAATCTACTAAAGATCTGATAACAAGGGATAACATGCTACTACCATTTTTTTTTCCTAGGTTTGTCTTTGTTATAAGTACACAAGTCAGGGAAAGCATAACAAGTGAAAAATAAACCAAATTATATTTGAAAAACCTTGAATCCATTTCTAAATCTTCAAGAAGTTAAGCTTGCAAAGGGAGAAAATACAACTAGATAAATTTCGTGAACCAAAGCGTTCAAGCACCAGTATTAGTCTCTGTCAGTTCAAATTTCAATAAAACCAATAATCACTAAATTACAATCATGATACATAATCAACAAGAAGCAATAATACACTTAAAAAGCACTACCAAACAACCATAAAATTACAAATGTGTAATACATAGTCAACAACAACAATCATTTGACAAAATGGACGGGTACTAAATGATTCACTAAGTGGATTACAAATTGAAAAACGAAGAATCAAATGAGGAAAAATATTTGACCACGTTAAGCTGGGTTGTGTTAGATTTTTATTAGCCTATTTAGTGTTTAAGTTAATAACTTTCATAATTTTTTTGCTCCACCTATAAATTATGAAAAATAAAAGATTAAAAAAAAAAAAAAGAAGAAGAAGTCAGTTTCATCCTAGTACCCACAATTCTAATTCAAGAACCAAGAACAGATCCGAATCTATTCGATTTTAGGTTTTAGTTTCTATATATATATATATATTTTTTGGGAGCCGATCGGAACCACCAATTCCAGTTCAATTTCGGTTAAAATGCCACCTCTAATTTGAAGGGCTAAAAATGAGTTGAATTGAGCATGAGTGCATGCAATAAAACTTGTTAATTATTCTTATGATGCCAAGGGCAAAACAGATTATCTAATAGTGGATTCCCCCGATTTTGCATCAATTCATCCTTGAAATGACAAAAATTTTAGGGAAATGATCGCGTGCCCTTATCATATGGTAACAGAGGATCTACATCTAAAGAAATTCACGCGAAAGCCTTAAAAAACTTCTATTGTAATCAAATGCAACTTTGATATTCATGGTAGAGGTAATTGGATCCATTCTGTCTATATATACACCTATCCCGTTTGCAAAAATACACATTAAAAAAAAAAAAAAAAGGAAATCATCATAAACAATATCATAATTTCTCATACTCTAAAATTATATACTCGAATTTTTTTTAATATTTTTCTGGAGTGCACTTGAGAGTTGTGGGAAACCATTCGTGATTGTTGCGCAAGTGGTTTGTGATCGTTGAATCCTGAGAATGATTGTCCATATAGTTCACAGCAGTTATCAATGAGTAATTTTATTTTAGGACATTGTGCTATCACGAGATTCGATACGTTTTGTTTTTAAACTTTACTGCAACTAATTATTTTTTCAACATTTTCAACATTGATATGCTAATGTGAAGTATTTAATGTAAGAAACATTGATTTACAGATAAGAAACATTGATTTACAGATGAAGAAATATAACAGAATTCTCCTTGCTTCCTTGAGAAGAGAGATATCGAAAATCAAACTATAAGATGAGAAACGGTAATATATATGTAATCCAGCTACGAGTTGGGGTGGATCTAGCACTTGGCGAGGCCTTATGACCGCGCATGCTGATCTGTCGGAAGCAATTTTTGTTGTTGATAATAGATGAATTTTTTAGGTTATATAATTAGTGATTTATTTTACTCTCAATCACCTCTTGTTGCTTTGTTGGTTAGAGCTTGCATTTATACATTGGAAATCTTGGGTTCGAGTCCTTTCCATCTAATTTGTTGTGCAGCATTTTTATTTCTAGAATATTTACCAAAATTAATTCCATAAGGGATTGTAACCTGTGACCTCTAGTTAGAACGGTTGAAAGCTTAACCATCATGACAATCGTTGATTTTTCATACGAAATTTAGCAAACTAATCTATGTTAAGACTCTAGGTAAGTCAGTGACTATTATTTATTTATTTTTTGTTGGCTTTTGTTGTTTTAAATATTTTACGCTTTAATAATTTATAAGATATGACTTATGAGTATTGAGTTTTAATTTATGTGTTATTTGAGAATATGTCAACTGTGAATTGATATATAGAAATTAATTTGAGTATTGTGAAATGTGAATATGTGATTTATGAAAATTGAAAATGAGAAACTGGGGATTTTATAATTTTTGATGAATTGGTGTTGATAATTGAAAATTGAAACTTTAATTATATTTTTAAAATTAATTTTAATTACATTTAATTTTTTTTATTAACGGTCAATTCTCATACTGATTATGAAATGATTTTTTCAACTGAATCATAATCTAGTTCTTGTAGTGATGCATCAATCCCTCAACTACTTTTAATTAAGCAAACGATTTGTCAAGCATCGATAATACAAAGAAGTCTCATGTATCATGTAATTTATATTATTTCGAATTGTGTTAAACTATAGTATGATAAATATAAGATTTTTAAGTTTTAGCGTATTTACTTATAGATGGAAGAAATTTTAATATTATTTAATTTAATATTAATAAACGATATCATTAGATGGTCATTGACTACGACGGTCAACGATCAACGGATGTCCTAGCTAAGTTGAAGTCCTAGATTTGTCCTTGAATTCGGTCAATTTTTCACACGTCCAAACGACCCGTTCTAATATGAAAAGTTATTGTAAGAGTAAGTATTTTAAAAATACCTAGTAAGAAATACGTGCATATTCTTATTAACATGATATAAATATAAAATGACATAACATGCCAACTTTTATTAGATTTAGAGCAAGTTGGTCGTGATGTCCAATAGCTCAAGGATTTTCTTAAGAATTCATATAACCTGTAGGATTTACATATCTAACCAAACGGTCTATCCTATAGGATTTAACATAGAAGTCGACTCTAAAGCTTTAAAGTATTTCATGCCAAAATTTATATAAATATCAAGAAATAAGAATTTTTATCACTTTGCACTATGTATTCTTACCTCAATTGATATAAAAAATTCTGAAATTATTCCTTGAGACAATGATTAAATTTTGGCAAAATGTTTGTAAGAGAATGAGAACCCAACTTGTGATATTTTTGAATGTGGTTGATAAAATAATACTTATTGTCAATGTGTGAAATGTATAGGTAAAGGAAAAAAAATCTCACATGTTATTGCATGCTTACCAAATCAATTATGAATTCGAAACTTCAAACGTTAGGTTG